TGTTACTAAGCCTTTAAAAAGAAGACAGTCCTGTTTTGTGCTACAGTGTGGATGGATCTTAATCACAAAGGCCTACTTCAAAAATAAATGAAGTATTTAAAAACAAGTCAAACTCTTAAAATCATAAAACGAGATGGTGGAAGCCAGGAGCAGGGAGTGGGAGAGAGCGGACCTGTGGGTATGAAGTTTTAGGTTAACAAGCTGAAGAATTTCCTGAGATCTGTTACACAACTAAGTGCACTGAGTTGACACTAAAATGAACTGCATATTTCTAAATGTTAATGGACTAGGGATGGAGCTCAGCGCTACACGGCTTGCCTAGCATACACAAGGTCCTGAGTTTGATTCCAGCATCACAAAAGAAAAACAAAAAATTAAGATAATAAATCTTATATATTTCTTACCACAATAAAAGAAAGGACCTATATAACAATGCTCATGGTAGCCTTTTAAAACTAAAAATAACCCTGAAATTGCAGAACAGATTTTAAAAGCTGGGATCTGCTCATACAGAATATTACTCAGTGATAAAAAGGAATATTCTAACATATAAACAATATCATAAATAAATATAAATAAGACTATTATTATATCTTTGTAAAGAATCCATTTTGTCTGAGTTTTTTTGTTTGTTTGTTTTGTTTTTTTTCCGGTACTAGGAATCGAACTCACGACCTTGAGCTTGCCAGGCAGGCACTGTGCCACTGAACTAAATCCCCAGGCCCTATTTTCTCTGTTTTTAAATTGGGTTGTTTGCCTTTTAATATTAATTTTTCATGATCCTTTATATGTCCTAGCTATGAATTCTTTGTCAAATACATTTACAAAACATATTTTCCTACGTCACTCTTTATCAGTTGTATGGTCTTCAAAAACATGTTGAGTAAAAGAATCTATTTCCAAAATCAAACAGAGTCCTTTTCCTGGGATCAGCAAAACTAAATTATGGTGATAGAAACATGAATTAATGCTTGCAGCAGAAGGGAGAGGATGACTGGAGGTGGACAGGATAGAGCTTACCCTGGTGATGAAAATATTTTGCATCTGGACTGGGGTGGCAGTTACAAACGGTTACACATTTGTCAAAGTTCACTAAAAATACACAAGATCTGTGCAGTTACATGTATATAAGTAACACCTCAATTAATAAAAAAGAAAAAATTATGGTACAATTCTGACACCATCAGAAAGTGGTTTCCTTCTGGTTATAATAATATAAAAATCTCACAAATAATCATAATTACCTTCTAGGCAAACACTACCCGGAAATGCTGTACCCCATAACACACAGACTCACTAGAAGGTGAATGCTAACACATAAAACTTTAGGTCTACACCTGTAATCCCAGCACTTGGGAGGCTGAGGCAGGAGGATCACTGTAAGTTTGAGGCCAGCCTGGGCTACAAAGTGAGTTCAAGGCTGGCCTGAACTGCATAGTGAGACCTTGTCTCAAAAAGACAAAAAAAAAACAACAACAAAACTTTAGGTCTAAAATACCTATCACTGGCAAGGTCAAATCTTCTACTTCTAAATATTTAACAGGTTTTCACAGAAATACAATTAAGCATCCAAACATTCCTTATTTCATTTTTTATCTAAATAAAGAGAACATAATGCTGAAACTATAAAATGTCAAAACACGACATATGTGTGAACCAGCTGTTATGAGAAGATAATGCCATTTGTTCCCTAAACTACTTCACAGCAATGTCTTGAAGATTAATGAGATAATGGATTGGATTCTTTTCAGTGAGTAAACTACTTGCTGTAGGTAATTTCTGTATTTTAGGGAACAGTAAATCTATCAGACACTAGGTTACAATTACTACACTGAGGCAAAGTGGTAGATTTAGAAATTTACATCCTCATAATCAAGTTTTTATACATTTAGAATGGTGCTTTCTGAAGCATAATTTATTCATATAATGCATTTTAATTCCTTTAAAAATCAGTTTTTATTCTATAAGTTAAACCATAAGCACTTCCTTCCACTTAGCATGTAAGAAGTTATTATTATTCTAGGCATCTAAGAATAAAGAAATAAAAGATATAGTAACTGCCTTCAATACCACACAGTTTAGGAAGGAAAATGTATAAATACATTTGAATGCAATATGACAATGCTTTAAAAAATTCCTACGTAGTTGGTGTTGCAGAAACACCTGGACTAGGCACCTAATCCAGAAGGCACAGACCTGCAAAGCCAGGGGACGCACATCAAAAAGGCCTCTGAGAAGCAGTGGTACATGAGAGACTAACTCTAGAAAGATGCACCAAAGGTCAAAAAGAAAAGCCAAAGGGCCCTACAATCCTAAAGCTAGGCCAACAGATATGAAAAATGATGCACTTTGAGACCGCAAAGTTAAGTGAAATAAATCAGACACCCAAGCTGAAATATAGTATGTTTTCTCTTATTAAGAGAAACCCAAGCCCAAATAAACGAAGGGCAAAATAAAAGACAGATAATAGGAAAAAGAGAGATAGATCTTCTGTAAAAGAGAAGGAGACCAAGAGATGAAGAGAGATTTGTGGGAGAAGAGAGGAAGAGAAAGGGATGAAAAAACAATCAAGAAGTGTTATATACATGTACAAATTCTGCCTGAGGAGGATAATCACTGTGTAATACAAATAGGCACTAATAAAAAGTACAACTCTTTTTAAAGAAGACAGAAAGCCAAGGAAGCACAAGGTACTGCTGCAAGATTCTCCAGAGCCAACGCAGAGCAGGAGATGAAAACAGTCCAGTGTGGGCAGAATGGGAGGATCCACAGAACAAGCAATCAAATACATGCATATGGAACTCTGGAGATTTAAGGACCAAATTTGGCAGCCAGCAACCTAAAAAGAATAACTGAAGTCATTGCCGAAGAACCTCCACAGTGTGCAAATGGGGAGACCATTACAGAAGTCCTGACAGCAAGTACAAGTGAGGAAGGCACAAGGCAAGAGAAATCTGGGTAAGAGCAGGAAGGTAATAAAAATGAAATTCCAGGACGATGGTGCACTGAAATCCAAAGGAGCAGGAGCAGGAAGGAATAACCCATGGAGACAAGTCAAGGAAGACAAGACCACAGTGTTGTTTGCCTTAATCATCTGTAAGATCTCAGAAGACCTCAGCAAGAGTGGTTTCTGAGAGTGAGAACACCAGAGGAAGTGGAGCCCCTGCAGACTATAGGTTTCAGTCACTGGCTCTGAAGGCAAGAAAGAGGATCTCAGTTGGGAAGCGACTTGGGTCGAAAGATGGTTTTGAGGGGGTAGGGACAAATGTATTGTTACTCAGTTCTTCTCATAGAATTTTTGTTTAGTATCATTTTGAAAGATTTCAGTGTTTATATATTAAGACAAAATAATTACTATGAATGTCAGGAGAAAATTTTAAAGCTAGGAAATAACTGATAAAAAGATCAAAAAGGAGGGGCTGGGGATTTAGCTCAGCGGCAAAGCGCCTACCTGGCAAGCGCAAGGTCATGAGTTCGGTTCCCGGTACCGGAGAAAAGCCAAAAAGATCAAAAAGGAGAGAAGGACAAGATAGAAAAATGATTAAGAGGTATCTGCAGGGTAACGTACAATGTCCAGAAGAATAACTCTTCCACTGAGAAAGAAGAAAATGTCCTTCAGCGGGTGGGAGGGAACCTGGGGGAATTCGTGTTCTCATTTGGTTACTATGAGAGAGCTTCTACTTGCTGAACCAAGAGAGCCAGGGTGGTTTCTGGTTTCCCAAATATTACTTTAAGGAAAGAAAGCTAAACTTTATCCATCTAAAATAAATATAAGCGAGTTAAGCAGCTATACATTTCAGATAGTCACTGAATTATTTGCAGTGACATAAAGGTGAAGCACATCTATTTAAAATGAACTGCGTTTTACCAACACTAGTCCTTTTCACTTGCACAGATTATGACATTTAGTTGTTTAATCACTGATAAGCAATAAACCTAATATATAATAATACAGTAGCAAGAAATATTTATTAGAAAACAAAAAATTAAAAGCTAACTAAAAAAACACACCAATTCTAGCACTCAGAAGGCCCTGGGCTCAATCTCTAGCACTGAGAGAAAACAACAACAACACACACACAATTAAAAATTCCTTATGGAATTTTTTGGAAATTTTTAGGAGAAAGCCATCACCAATGAAGATCACATAAAACTTTTCTGCAGTTATACTGTTCCAAAAGATATTAAAATGTATGGTTTTTAAAATTTTTAATATAAGAATAGTCCTAAGAGAAATAAGAAAATAGGGAATAAATTAATTACGTATTCCACAAAAACTATAAAAATGAAATAATTCTTTTTAACTGAAATAAGCAAAGTGAGTCTCTGTGATTACTGTATGATGCCATCTGAATAAACTTTCAAAGGGCTGTGTAGAAGAATAAGTATTCATGTAGAAATAAATACATATATACAAATCAATAAAAAATACTTTGTGTTTTTAAAAGTTGTTCATGGCCACAGTCATTCTCTGCCCTACCCTTGCCACAATGGATTTAAAACCAGTTAAAATGAGATGTTTTTCCCTCCAAGCCACAAAGAAATCAAGAAATAGTAAAAAGAAAAGGGTCTCAGTCTCTTCTATAGCTATGCGGTCTTTCAGAGAAGGCCAATCCTCCCCCCAGGGCACCCAATCCACACCAGCTGTGTCTTTAGACTCACTATGCCCCCAACCAACTCCTTCTGGGTCAGAATTGCAGGACCCCCAATCTGATGATGCAGGGGTCACAGAAAGAGGAACCCGGTGGCTCTCAATCTCCACAGGCTTCTAAACTTACACTGAAGCAGAAAACTCATTCCACACGAGCCAGCCAGACTACCAGACACCCTCTCTCTCCCTCTCTGTCTCCATAAAGCCATCTCTGCATACATATCCCAAACACCAAAATGAACATTTCAGTTAAGTATCAGTCATTAAGAAAACAGAGATGTTAAAGTAAGAAAATTCACTCCGCAATGTGCTTCGCCCTTTTTAGAACGAGATTTTTGGAGGAACTTACTGTTGATGTGATCGATGTAGTAGACACCAATTTGAGGGTCAAACCCTGCTTCCCATCCCCATGGCAGCTCATCCCCAACACAGTCAGCAAAGGACAGGGGCTTTGTTAACCTACAACAGACAGAACAAATACACAGTGACTATTTTTTTTTTTGTCACACCACACATGTCAAAATTCAGCACCTTCACTACAAATTATATATCTAGGTTGAATTTTTCCTTTGTTCATGGTTCCAGAACTTGCAGTACTGCACTTGAAATAATAAAGAAAAAAACAAGGATAAAATAGAGAAGGGAATATTGAAAAACAGAATAAACCATTCATTATACCCTTTTGAAAGATCACAGTTTAAGACTAGAGATAAAACTCTAAGATAAATAAATCAGGTCATGTTAAATCAGAGAACCCTAAGCTGTAAGAAAGTCTAAAATCCAGTGCAGCTCTGCAGGAAGGTGTTATCCCTTTAAAAATGAATATCTATCCAGGATTCAAACACTAGCATCAGAAATGATATCAGTACCCCTAAAATAAGAACATGCATGAAGCTACACTACTTTAGATTTGGATGTTCTCATACAAATTAACTAAACTCCCTACTATGCAGTTTGGTATGAATTTTTCTTGAAAGGAAGGACAAATATAACTTTTTTTTATAAATACCTTGTACATAACAGTTACTCAAAAATTTTAATGGAACAAAACACAAAGTATTCATATATCACCTTTCAAAACTTTCTTATACTTTCTCTTAAGAATACTTTCTCTTTAACATGTTTTTTTTTTTTTTTTTTTTTTTTTAACATGGGCTGGCCTTGAACTCACTGCATAGCCTAGGATGGTCTGGAACTCACAGCAATCCTCCTGCCTCAACCTCCTAAGTACTAGGATTATAGGCATGCACCACCATGCCTGGCTAAAACGTATTTCTTTAAGACTCTTTAAATCAGAGAAATGACATCGTTTCTTAAGCAAAGTATAGGTTTCAGACATAATTACAGATTTTTTTCCTCACTCATTTTCACTTTTGGAATTTTCTTTTGGTTGTTGGAGTAGCCATGGTAAGTTAACATTATAGAATAGTGAATGCCTTGTTGTAGGGTGGCCATCAATCAACACACCTTCTAACTTAATATTCTGGCAGGACTAGCCTGGTTCTTACATACAAAAGCTCCTGGAATCCCTTTAATCCATATTAGTGAAATCAAAGGTGTCACAGCACACCTGAAATATCGGTCATTTCCAGATTCACTTCATTCATCAGAATAACAAAGTATGTCATCTACCCATCAGAACACTGGGAGAAGGACATGGAAATGATCCCAGGCCTACCCTGCAGAAGCTTTCTAAGGACACAAAACACCAACACGAAAGGAAGGGTCCCCCTGTCTCCCAACCTTCCCACAGCACGAAATTCCTTTCTAGAAATGACTCAAAGACACTGGCTTTCGAAACCAGCTCAGCTGACAGAAGCCATGATAAGGGCAAGTGGCTCTTGCCGCTGACATGTTGGGAGATCTCTTAACTGAGCACCTCTCTACTTCAGTTTCCTTCTCCTGAGTGGCAAAAACACTGCCTATTCTTTCCCTACAGCTCAACTACTTCCTAAGATAATGTGAAGATAAAAAGAATGTGGGGAATATGGTAAGCAGTCTCTAAGTGTTAGTCACTGTCAACACAGCACAGCATGTGACATTGTTACAGTTTAGATCTAAAACAGCACCAAAGCCTCACGTGTCTTGAAGGTGATGGGCTGTGGAGGTGTTACAGCTGATGTGGTATTGGGAGTTGGGATCTGTCAGAAAAGGCAGATCACTGCGGCTGTGACCCAGAAAGGTACATCTCCCTTCCCAGCTCCTCTCTCTTGACTTCCTCTGATTTCTTGCTGTCATGCAGTGATAGCTTTCCTTCCACCATGCCAGCAACCATGCAAGGACCAAAACTTCTAAAATGTGAGTCAAGATAAATCTTTCCTTTAAGTGTTGGACATTTGTCTCTGCAATGAGAAAGTTAAGACAGAAGTCTCTCATTTACTCCTCAGACAAAATAAGTCAGGCAGCATAGTATTAAGGAGCAGCTCTCAAAACAGTCTCCAGAACTAGCAGCAGCACAACAGAAATGCAAATTCTTGGACCCTAAGGTAGCCCACAAAATCGGAAAGTCAAAGGCCCAGCAACATGTGCTCTGCAGGCAACTCTGCTGCACACTAAAGTTTGGGAACCCTTGGCTTACAAGTGAAGAGTTTGAAACGCGGTACCAAAGAAAGAATGGGTTCAAATTTTTGTTCTGTACGATCTTCACTGTACAACCTAGAGCAAGTTATTACCTTTAAAAACCTTGGTTCACTAACCTAATTTTCAAAGAGTATGGGGGCTGCAGAGAGATTTTAGAAGACAGTAAAATGCCTGGCAATGGTAAACTTCAATATGTTAAATAAATGAAAAGAATCTCAAAGATGTTAAGCAATGTGCCTAAATGCAGCAACTTGCCACATTTACTTTGAAATCATGGAGTCCATTTTAACTCAATCAGAGACAAAAAGAATTTACCTCTTAGAATTGTGCTCAGATACAATCTCGTATCATAAGCTGTTCAGGAAATCTAATTTTTCTTTTGATAAAAGAATTAGATACCATATCAAAAAATCCCACACTACAGGAAGTGGCTTTGTATATCCACTGTCTCTAAGAATGTCTCTTTGGCTACCTTCATAAAGCGAACTGATTAACGTGTGCCAGGTCACCCTGCACATGACTCTCTGAGGACTCCTTCCTTACCTCCTCCTTATCAATGATGTCATAAAGCACACACAAACCAAAGAAATGAAGCATGAAGAGACAGGAAAATGATAAGGCTAAGTGACAAAACAGAGATTTTAAGGACAAGTTTTACCTGCCACCAAATCAACATCTATAAGCCTGAGTATGATATGAAAATATTCATTATTCTCAGAAGTCAAATTAGCTATAAAAGTTTCAAAACATGTGCTATTATTACAAGTTATGGTAACTTGATTACACTTGGAAGTAATTCCATTTTCCCATGAATTTGTCAGTAGATAATAAGCAGTTACTGCCACTGTTGTAAGACTAAAATTACATCTGCAAGTACAGACACACTTATGAACTCAGTGACTAATTCAGAAGTTTCTACTGCTCAAAATTTCATATAAGTTTCTTTGCAGCGCTAGTTTAAAAGTCAATTTAATACTTTATATTCTGCATCTGGAAAACGTCTTTTTTCTGTCTTTTATTAGTAAATAAAACCATTAACCTCAAAGAGTAAATAAAAACTGAAAGGTACAATAGATATTGTGAAAGGGAAAGAAACTGCTCAATAGGAAAGAAAAACTGGGATGAGGGAAAGGAGAGAAAGGAAGGCAGAAAGAAAGAGAGAAAGAGAAAGAAAGAAAGAAAGAAAGAAAAAAATATATATATACAAGATAGCTAAGATAATTATACTACTAATTTCTACTGGTTTGTTGAAAGGAACAGTTAATGTTTAATTGTTTAATCAATCTTGCATACCTATATCTGGTAATCTGAGCAACTACTTTAAAGATAACAAGTAATACAACAACCATTGTTGATTTCCTATCATCTTGTTTTGAAATTCTGTATCATTTTTACAGTTTTTTGTTGTTTTGTTTGTATCTTTCTGTCATTTTGTTTCTGTTCTTTTTTCTTTAAAATAATTTAAAAACTGAAAAAAAATATTTGCAGTGAAAAAAACTATTAACTATTAAAAGTTTAGTACTAAATTCTTATCCAAATAAGAAAATATAAATAGAATAATATCCTCAGGTGCCGAACAAACAAAATCAAGGAAGGATCCAATTATACTGCTTTCTGGATATTTTCATTATGGCCTATAATATATTCAGTCCCTACCCTCATTGGGGAAAAACAGCCATAAGCCTTTCCTCAAACCTCCTGGCTCCTCTTTAGATCCTCACTTCCTAACCACCTGCTCATCCTAACCTACAGGCCTATAGAAGATGCTATCAGAATCTCCACCTAACTTTAATTCTTCCTGAATACACTCTTCACAGGCATGTTTGTGGGTGAGTCGCCTTTGAAACAGCACACTGCTTATGCTTTTGGTTGTGGGGCTCAAATATATTACTCAGAAAAACTACAATGTTCTATCTCCAAAAGGGTCAATTTTTATATATTATGCTAATAGTATAAAATATTCACCAAGTGCTTATCACATATCACATTTTAATTTATGTAAATGTGTGAGTTAAAGCCCTATAAAAGTCTACAAAGTAGGTATAATTTTGATTTCCACTGAAACAGCTTATGTAGGAAACAATACCTATTTGTAGTCAAAAAAGCATGTGTTAGGGTAACACATACCTCTCTGTAGTCAACATTTATACTAAAGGCAGTAGTGGCTGCACACTCTGCTACCAAGGCTTTCATGCTTTTATAAACCTCCTCAATGGATACTCTGAAGAGCAAAAAAGCAAAATCTAGTAACAAACAAAAGGAAAAACATCTATCAAAGGCACACAATTCTTAAACATTTCACCAAACATAGAAAGATGCTTTTTAAAAAACTTAGTGTGATTTACAGGCTGAACAGAAATTCCTAAGTAAAACTATATGACTTATGCATATATTTCTTAAATAGGAGGCTATAAAATAATTTTAATTTAACTGCTTATATTGTCTGCCTATTTAAGCTAAAAAAAAAAAAAAAAAACCAACAACAAAAACCAAAACAACACCTTGGTACTAATAAGGCCAAAGTTTGGGGTTATACTTCCCTGAGAGCTCTTTAACGCACAATCAACCAGAAAATATTGTTTAGGGTAGTAGTTCCTGATCCAAAAGGTGCATCCAATTTAACTGAAAAGCTTATTAAAATACAGACTGCTGAAGCTACCACCAAAGTTTCCAACTCAGTAGATTTGGGATTGGGCCTGAGACTGCATTTTTAACAAAGTCCCAGGTATGATGATGATACTGCCCCCCATACCACACATTGAGAAATCACTGCTTAAAGTATACAAATTATATCCAAAAATAACCCAATCAGGTGATGAAGAAATGGAAAACAATATCAAATTGAAAACACACCTGGGGGGGGAAAAAAAAAAAAAAGAAAACACACCTGGGAACAAAAGACTGTTCCTAGACATACTTATGAACTC